ACCTATATTGGCAGGGGGTCAGACTAGATGATCTTCTCAGGTCCCTTCCGACCCTAGAAACTATGAAACTATATTCTATGTCCACCCACCCCCACCCATGTATCCTCCTGTCCTTCAGTGCTCCCGCCGGTACCTTCACCTGCTGCAACCCCTGCATCCCCTGTCATCTACCAATGCAGTGGCCATGGCTCCCAATGGCAGCAGCAGCAGCAGCAGCAACAGCAACAATGTAATGGTAAATTTCCTGTGAGTATTTTGAACTTTGGAGTAATAAGTGGTTACATGACTTCCTTCAATATTGCAACCTGAACTTCATCACATTCACATTTCAGAGCCATGAGTCCAAGGGCAGCAGGACGCTGCCTGCCAGAACCTGACACCGTCCCAGGTGATATTTAGGTACAATAAAATATTTAGGTATTTAAAAGATGGGAAAGAATGGGGGAATGCAATAATATCATGGTGCATATTTAGGTAATATGTCCCACCTACCTTGTGTGCATGTGTGTGTGTGGGCGGGGGGGAAGGTGGTGTGGCAAAAGTCCGGTTTTTTGACTATGCGTAGAGCCCCCCTCCTCTTCCTCTTCTTTCCTTTTTCTCCCTCCTCACAGAAAACTTTGGCAGATGCAACTCACCATGGATGACCCACAGGTAGGTGAACAGTCATAGTCACTCTCAAGATACTGAAAACTTTTTCTTTTTTTACAATTTATTTTTATATTGTATGTGTGTTAATTTGTATATAGTTATATACTTAGTATTTATTTATTTTTGATAAGAGGGACAAGAGTCTGAACCTTTTTCTAATTTTTGTTACTTTTTGTATTTATTTTATTTTTATCTTGTAAATTTGTATACATTTATTCATTTGCAGTAGAGTTTTCTCTTCTATATAATAGATGTATCATGTTTTCTTTGGGATAGTTAAGTTTGGAGACTGTGCCCACCTCAGTGGTGGGGATGCTGTGCCTGGGGGTGGGTTTAGTCATGGCATTATTGTAAAGACTTGCAAATAGTTGCAGGGTTGATTTGTTAAGTTATAGCTAGGGTGCAGTCCAGCCAGATATGTCTTGTAAGAAAAAAGACTAAACAACCCCACTCAGGGCCTTTAGCTTTTAGCAAGTCTTTAAAGACAATTTTGTAAGTCTTTAAAATGCATTATAATGCATATGATATGGTCATCAAGGGGAGTGGGGGTTGGGGTTAATGCCTGCTGCTGCAGTTCCAAAACAGCTTCTCTTTTTCTTACCAGGCAGGCTGTTCTGTTATGGGAGGTGCGATGCAAAAATTTTTTTTTTTCAGTGCTTTCTTTGCAATGCAATATTTCCTTTACAAAATCCTGCATGCAGCACCTTTTGGTGCCAAGTTTCCAGACATCCCCTCCCCACATCTGCTTCAACCCACTCCCCGCCTGAAGACAGCTCATCACATTGTTCAGGATTGCTTTGTCCTTCCTTGCTATATCTCTCCTCTCATCCTTCTCAAAGGACAGGGAGAAGTTGAGGGAGATGAGGAGCAGGACTCCCAAGGCAGCCCAGGGTAATCACTTCAGCTACCTCTAGGCCTCTCCATAATAAAGTGTATTCAGAAAGAACTTATTTTCATCCAAATTCAAGAACATTGTAATACCTCCTTCTCCTACAGTAGGTACTGGCATGTCCTCATCAGATGGGTCTCAGCTGAACAGGGATCTGCTAATTATCCAAGGCCATGGTTTCAAAAAACATTATGCCCAGGGTTTTTTTCTTTCCCCACAGTTCCTCCCCCCCTCACAGCCTTCAGCATTTGAGTTCTATGTGGTCTCCCTAAATCCCATGCTCAATAACTAATATGGGCCAGTGCATGCCTTCAGATTGGCACCCACAACATTCCACAAAGGGTACTGCGGTTTTCAGGTGTCTACCAGCTGCTGCATTGGAAGGGTGGTCAGTTCAAGTGTGCAGGCAGATATTTGCAGGGGAAAACAGAAATGGAGTCAGGTTTGCACCTGCAGAGAAGGAGCTGAGCAGAGGTTGGAGAGGGTTCCTCATCTTTATTTTTTCATAATAACTTGAATTCAATCAATTTCATTGAGAAAACACAATAAAGCTAAAACAGTATAGACTTTTTTTTTACTCAACAATGCTGTTGGTATTCAACTGGTCAATACATGTTTTTACACTACAGCCATTGCCAGCAAATGCAAGACAGTAAGATAAAACACCAATTCACAATATGCTCCCATGTCCCTTCAGTAATCCCTTGATAAGGTATGGATTGATGGAGGGCTGCATGGTGGGAGGGCAAGAAGGAGGGATGGAGGGAGGCAGCTATCCAGCCAGCCAGCCAGCTTGGTTACTGGTCCTTCCTGGTTATTGATGACCATGTGACTTTTATGGAGTCATGGCATTACTGGAAATTTGCAGGGTGGACTGTTATCTGATGGAGGGAGGTCAAAGGCCAGTGCTAGTCTGTAGCCAGCATTTTCTTGCAAGAAAGAAACCTACTCACAAAGCTTAGTTGGGAAGGGGCCCCCTCAGGTGCAGGCCCCCAGGCAAAGTCCCCCATGGACCCTTCAGGTGGGTGGTCAGGCATGCTACTCTCCATTGCATTGTATCTTTGGAAACTTTGCTGGGCACAAAGCTTATGGAGGGAGGGGGCTCCCAGGTGGGTGGGTTGGGTAGAGGGGTGGAGGGAGGGAGGCATTATGCACCCCCTTCCCCGTTACTGTCTATGTCGCAGCAGAGAACATGGTTGGGTCACAGGTGGGCCCCAGCCATCGTCCCAAAGGGGGCCCCTTCAGGTGGGGAACCCCAGACATGGTTTGGCCTCCTTCATGTGCAGATGGATGGCCCAACTCAGCTTGCTCTCCATGTCACTCTCCATGTCATGTCCATGTCATGTCCATGATATGTCACTCTCCATGTCAGTCACATTGTAACTTTGGAATCTTTGATGGGCACAAATCTTATGTGGGTTGGGGAGAGGGATGGAGGGAGTCATGGGCCAGGGAAAGCAATAATCAGTTAATTTTCTACCATCTTTTAATTCTTTGAGGTCCCACACCACCTATACTGTATGTCTTCCTCCCCCAATCCATGTACCCTCCTTAGACGGGTGACACTTTCTACTACTATTTATTTATTTTAAATCCACTTGTTTATTTAAAATGTCCTTGTTCATTTAAAATTTATTCAAAATCTCCTTATTAAAATAGTGAAACCTCCCTCAAGGAGACAGTGGTGGGTGGTTGTCAGAAGACATGTACCGCAATCCAAATTTGCTGGTACATGGACAGTAACCAGGTGGAGGGTGAGAAGACTATATGAAGTAGGCCTGGAGAGCTTGTGCAAATCAAGCTGATGCTTGGGCAAAAGTGCCTCAGCTTTCATAGTTTCATAGTTAGTAGGGTCTGAAGGGACCTGAGCAGATCATCGAGTCTGACCCCCTGCCATGGCAGGAAAGAGTACTGGGGTCAAACGAACCCAGCAAGGTGATTGTCAAGCCTTGTCTTAAAGACCCCCAGGGTAGGAGCCAGCACCACTTTGCTTGGAAGTTGATTCCAGATCCTAGCCACCCTGACAGTGAAGTAGCGCCTCCTGAGGTCTAATCTGACTTTACCCTCTGCCAGCTTGTGACCATTATTTCTAGTCACTCCTGGTAGTGCTTGGGGAAACAGGGACATCCCCAATGCCTGCTGGTCCCCTCTGACTAGTTTGTAACAGGCCTCTAAATCCCCCCTCAGCCTTCTCTTATGGAGGCTGAACAGGTTCAGGTCCCATAGCCTGTCCTCATAGGGCCTGCCCTGCTGCCCCCTGATCATGCAAGTGGCCCTCCTCTGGACCCTCTCCATTTTGTCCACATCCCTCTTGAAGTGTGGTGCCCAGAACTGGAGGCAGTACTCCAGCTGCGGCCTGACCAGTGCCACATAGAGGGGGAGTATCACCTCCCTGGACCTACTTGAGATGCATCTGTGAATGCATGACAAGGTGTGGTTGGCTTTCCTGACTGCATCCCCAGACTGCTGGCCCATATTCTTCTTGGCATCAGTGATGACTCCAAGATCCTTTTATGCCTCTGCACTGACGAGAAGGGAGTTCCCCAGCCCGTAGGTATGGTTCTGGTTCTTCCTCCCCAGGTGCATCACCTTGCACTTGTCAGTGTTGAATCGCATCCTATTCTTATCCGCCCACCCCTGTAACCTGTCTAGGTCCGATTGTAGCATATTCCATCCTTCTAATGTGCCCACATCCCCCCACATCTTAGTGTCATCAGAAAATTTGAACAGGGTGCTTTTTATCCCCTCGTCCAAGTCACTGATGAAGATGTTGAGCAGTGTGGACCCAAGGACTGAGCCCTGTGGAACCCCACTGCCCACATCCCTCCAGGTCAAAAATGAACCATCCGCAACACTCTCTGGGTACGGCCCTCCAGCCAGTTGGCGACCCATTTGACTGTGTAGGTGTCAACACCACAGTCCCCCAGTTTCTTAATGAGAACGGGGTGAGAGACAGTGTTGAAGGCCTTCCAAAAGTCCAGAAAGACTATGTCCACTGCTACCCCTGCATCTAAGGATTTGGTAACCTGGTTGTAGAAAGCCACCAGGTTGGTCTGACAGGACCTGCCTCTAATGAACTTGTGTTGGTTGCCCCTAAGCATAATCTCCCCTGCTGGCCCCTTGTGGACATGTGCTAGAATAATTCTCTCAAAAAGCTTACCCAGGATCGAGGTAAGACTAACTGGCCTATAGTTCCCCGGGTCCTCCTTCCTCCCTTTTTTGAAGATGGGAACCACTGCAGTGGTCAAAGCTAACCAGGAGGAAGGTGAGAGGTGTAAGGCAGAGAGCAAGCAAAGCAACCAAGAAGATCTGCACAATTCAGAGGCAAAACTCAAGCCACAGCTTCGATAGTGGAAGCCTCCCTTCCCTCCCTGTCCCCCCACTACCCATTCCCCCTGAAGCAGTGAATGAAATGTGCTTGCACAACTTTTCCAGATTGTACCAATGCAGGTCATGGCTAGTAACCAGGGTGAGGGTGAGAAGACTGTATGCGGTGGGCCTGGAGAACTTGTACAAATCAAGCTGGTGCTCGGACCAAAGCACCTCAGCATCCGCCACTGCAGTGGTCCTGGCTCCCAGCAAGAAGGGTGGGAAGCAAGTAGGGTTTTCCCCACACAGCAAGAAGCCTTCCCACAGCAAGGATTACAAAGTTACAAGGGTGCAACAGAGAGGTATAAGGCACAGAGCAAATGGGGAGAACAGCCTACTACCCAGAACACAGAGATTTTGGCCAGCAACCAAGAAGAAGGTTTGCAAGGGAGAGGAGTAGGGAACAGAGAGGTGTAATGCACAGGGCAAGTGATGATGCTCACACCAAAGCCACTGAATAAACCTCAGGTTCTGCCACTTCAGTGGTCAAAGCTAACCAGGAGGAGGACAAGAGGTGCAAGACAGAGAGCAAGCAAAGCAACCAAGAAGAAGGCCTCCACAATTCAGAAGAGAAACTCAAGCTTCCTTTGTGGAAGGTACCACCTGCAATCTGAGCCCCCTGCTACTGCAGTGGTCATAGCTCACAATCAGAGCTTACTTTGTGGCCAGAAGTTATTCCAGCGATACAAGGGTGCAACAGAGAGGTGTAAGGTAAAGAGCAAGGGGGGCAAGGAGCCTACTACCCAGAATGCAGAGGTCTTGGTCAGCAATCAAGAAGAAGGTTTGCAAGGGAGAGGAGTAAGGAATGGAGAGAGGTGTAAGGTACAGGGCAAGTGCTGATGCTTCTGCTAAAGCATGTGAAGAAGCCTCAGTTTCTGCCACTGCAGTGGTCCTGGCTCCCAAGGAGAAGGGCAGGAAGCAGGTAGTGTTTTCCCTGCTCAGCAAGAATCCTTCCCCCAGCAATGATTCCAAAGTTCCAAGGGTGCAACAGAGAGGTGTAAGGCAGAGGGCAAGTGCTCATGCTTGCACCAAAGTGTGTGAAGAAGCCTTAGCTTCTGCCAGTGCAGTGGTCCTAGCTAACCAGGAGAACAGTGAGAGGCAGGCAGGGTTTTTCTTAGCCAGGAAGAAGATTTTCCCCAACAATGATTCCAAAGCTCCAAGTGTGCAACGGAGATGTGTAAGGCACAGGGCAAGTGCTGATGCTCATGCCAAAGCCAGTAAAGAAGCCTCAGCTTCTGGGTGAGAAGCAGGAAGTTTTTTTACAAGGGTGTAATGGAGATAGGTCTGGCTGAGACATATCTGCTTTGTTGCTGAGGTGTAAGGCAGAAGGCAAGTGGGCTGAAGAGCCTACTACCCAGAATCTTGAGTTCTTGGCCAGCAACCAAGAAGGCCTAAGAAAGCCTGTGCAATTAAATAAACTCAAGCCTCATCACCTTCCTTAGTGTAAGGTCCCCGATGCGACCCAAGCCCTCTGCCAGTGCAATGAACATAGCTTGCTTTATGGCCAGCAGCAATGACTCCAAAGTTACAAGGGTGCAATGGAGAGACAACAGAGAGGTGTAAAACAGAGGGCAAGTGGGGCAAAGAGGCTACTCCCCAGAACATGGAGGTCTTGGCCAGCAACAAAAAGAAGGCCTCCATAATTCAGAAGAGAAACTCAAGCTTCCTTAGTGGAAGGCACCCCGCTTTGACCCAAGCCCTCTGCCAATGCAGTGGTCATAGCTCCCAAGAACAGCAAGTTACGAGGGAAGAAACCCTCCACAATTCAAGAAATACACAAAGGGGAAGCCTCAGCAGTGCATGCTTTCTCATCATAAGGAATCAAACTGTAACTATAAGTCAGAGAGCAAGTGTGGGGTAAGGCAGAGGGCAAGTGGGGTGGAGAGCCAACTACCCAGACTGTGGACATCATAGCTAGAAGGGTGATAAGACTATATGAAGTATCGTATTATATAGGGTCATAGATCAGGACCACAGCTTGCTTTGTTGTCAGCAACGATTCAAAAGTTACCAGGCTGCAATGGAGAGGTAGGTGCAGAGGTGGGCAAGTGTAGTGAAGAGCCCACAGGCCTGGAATTACTACCTGGACCCCAGGAGGGAATTTGCCAGAGGTCTTGGCCAGCAACCAAGAAGAAGCCCTGGTACAAATTTGCCAGGTTTCAGACCTGAGGAAAGCACTTCTTCAGGGCAGGAATTCAGAGAAAGTGACTGCCAGCAGGGTGGTGGAGGCAGGGGGAGGAATACAGTCCTTTTATGAGTGTGTGTCTGTATGCCTGTGTAAGATTTTTTTATTATTTGATTATTTGATGTTTTGATTATTTGATTGATTATTGATTATTTGATTGATAATTTAAACAACCATGCAGGAGCAGGCACAAGGGAAAGAAGTAGGGCCTTTGCTGAGCCTTAATTTTCAGTTTTTGGAAAAACAGCACTGTAGCAAAAATTATTTTTAAAGGCACACATGCTACAGTAGTCTATGAGGATTGTAGAACATGTAGAGATTTCCTACAGTGCAGGAAATTCAGAGAAACTGACTGATGTAAACTTACTGAGTGATTATTGGATTGATGGGGGGGTTGTGTGTGTGTGTTTGTGTGTATAGGGGCCACCAGCCGGCAGTCATTTTCTGAGACATGGCCAGTAACCATGAAGGCTGTGCTAAGGAGGGAGTGTGCCTGTGCACCATCCAGGGTGCTAAGACCTGAGCTTCCAGCCATGGGGCAAGAGGCAGCTAGAGGTCTTGGCCAGCAACCAAGAAGAAACCCTCTGCATTTGTGGCCAGCAGCAATCCTCTAATGACAATTTCATAATGTGTTGATTAGCAAACAGGGACACCAACCAGGAGGAGGGTGAGAATTATATGAAATGGATCTGCAGAACTTGTGCAATTTTTTACCATACTTGAGCTGATGCTCAGGCCAAAGCCTGTAAAGAAAGCTTCCACAATTCAAGTATTACACAAAGGGGAAGCCTCAACAGTACTTGTGGCCTTCAACCAAGAAGAAGTTAGAAAAGTTTAGTAAGGGTAGTATGTAAAGCAAAGGCTATATATCTTTTCTCCATGGGAATAGAGGGACCTAGGGAGGAGCTTGAACCAGGAAATGGGCATTTACCCACGGGGAAAGAGGCAGGGAGGACACATAATCACCTACCTTGCACTCAGTATCTTCTTTCTCATTGTAAGGAATGCAGCCCCCCCCCCAGCAGAGCTGACCCTATCAGGGTTCAGTGTAGTGGTGTATCAATGGCAGCAGGCACCACAGCCACCTCAACACAGACGCAAAGGGGACACCATCAAAGAGGCTGCAGAGGGGTCTTGTCCAGGGCAGGCATGTATTGGAGTGAGGGCAGCAGCACCCTGGCCTTGTCCCCAGGGCTCCAAAGACCCATGTTATGCCACTGGTGCAGGGCCTTGGGCAAATTAACACCCCCCCTCCATGCAGAAGAGATCCAGCCTTCCATGGTGGGGGAGGGGAGTTGGCGAGCATCCAGATGCGAGACCAGTGGCAGCACTGAGGAGTCCTCCCGTCCTCTCTGGCCATCTCTATGGGGACTCCAAAGTGTTGTGCACGGGGTGGTCGTATGTCCTCTTCTAAGTCTCATGTCTGACAGGTGTGGGCATCAAATAGCACTCAAAGCTTTACTGCACCCCACTTGATCAGCCTGTGGTCTTCTCAAACCTTGAACTCGCATTGCTGTGTGCCCCAGGGGCAAGTCTCGTAACTGGAATGAGTACTTCTCTTCCTCCATTGTTCTGTCATCTCTCGCCTGTCTCAAACCTGACTCATTGATACAGTGAATGCCCACCCCAACCTCTGCTCCCACAATTTATAGTGCTTGAGTGGGGCAACAACCCCCCCCACTGCAGCAGCTTCATTTTTGTATGGGAAAAAAAAAACAGATAGTCTGGTGCTGGGCTGGAAAAGAGCACAAAAAGAAGATAGAAAAGTTTGCAAAGTCCTTGGGTTTGTGTGCAAGCAAAGCAGGACAAGGAAGGCTTGTGAAGGGTGAGCCAAAAAAGAGCATGCACACCTGACTTTGCAGCGTGGCTGGTGGCTTTCCAAAAAGCAAGCCAGACCGGCTGCTGGGGGGTGACACATCCAGGAAGCCCCCCTGTGTACCTGTGCAAGAGATATTATGTCAAAGCTGCAAACCTGAGGGTGTCCCCCACCATGTGCAAGATAGATTGCTACCCTTTGCCCCTGGCACCATGCAGGAAGTGGGAGGAAAAAGAAACAGAGGTAAATGAACCCAAACAATGAACAAAATCTACCTCCACAACCAAGCAATGTAAGGGTGGATATGGAGGCATTCACAGGAAGCCAGGAAACCATGAGTTTTTATTGTTTGCAACATAATATTACAGTAGTTACTTGGGATTCTTTGCTTTCACCCCATCATGACCCTGAACCACCTCTGTCTCTCTGAAATGCAGTGGAGCCCTCCTGGCCCTGCTAGCAGGTGTACGCTCCTGCTGTGACCCCAATGGGTTAGGAGAAACAGGTTCGGCTGTAATTCTTGGCTCATCTTGCACAAAGGAAAGATGAGCAGACCGACATTTCCCTTTTGGGTGTTGCACCCATTTATTTAGGTAGTTCTGCACACTCTGAAAGGCATCCTGGAAAGTGTCATGTGAACTCTGTAATTCACCACAGGAATCCTCAACCACATCTTTTAAATTCTGCATCATGTCTCGCACTTGCTCCAGGATGGTATCCTCCTTACAGAGGGATTCACAGAGTTTCACCCCACAGGCATCTTTGCATTACACTCTGGTTACTGAGGACTCCAGCAAAACCTTGAGCGAGGTTTCATGGGACTATCTTTGCTTGCTGAGAAAATCTCTGCAGTACTCTGCTGAAGTATAAGTGGGGCATCGTTCTGGCGGCCACAGGTCGCAGTGACTGATAAGCAAAGAAAAAAGCAATGGTTGCCTTCATCCCCAAGAGTAGGAAAGTACACAGTCCCACCCCCTCCCCTGCCCTGACCATGCAGAACGCAAAATGCCAGCAGGCACAGAAACAGACCCCTCAACACTGCAGCACCACTCATACTGCCCAAAACTTATGAGTACTCACTGCTCCAGGAACAGGTTCAAGGCTGCTACTGCTAGCTGCAAAAAATTAAATCAAAGAAAGTAATTAGCTATCGAACCTAGCGTACACCACCACCAAAAGAAAATGGAGACCCATCTACATCAGCACATGAATTTCTCCCCCAACCCTTGACCCCCCACAACCAGCACAAACCTGGGAGTTGACTGGAAATGGCAAGAGGCAAGTTAGAAGAGACTTACTAGGTCCAGCATGTTCTTGGCTCTTGGTAGCAGTAGATGATGTATCGGCCACATGGGTTTCTTCCTGACCCTTCACTTCCTCTGCTTCATCATCCATGCTACTCTGTGGAACACAGGGGCTAAGTGGCACTAACTGTAAGGTGACTGATGGTTCTTTCTGCCACTCATGGTCATCAGGGAACAGGGAGCAGTCTCTGGACAGCTAAGACATGCTCATAGTTTCACCCTCAGAAGGGGCTGCTGTTGCTGCCTCCTCCTCCTCCATCTCCTCCACCTCCACCTCCAGCCGAACCCTGGCACTGAAAGTCTGCAAACCCAGGTTGTCACCCACATCCTTGGAGAGAATGATGGACAGCTTGCCGCAGAAGGGGGCAATCGTGCAACCTGCCCCAAAATGAGAGTTCACATCTTTGGCTCTGTAAAATGCTGATCTCAGGGACTTGATCTTGCACCGCACCTGGGTCCAGTCATGATTGTGCCCTCGTGACTGCATGCCTTTTGCAATCTCAACATAAACAGGCTTATTCCTCCTACTTTACAGCCTGTCTATGATCCCTTGTTCCAGCCAAATGTCAATTAAGTCCTCCAGTTCTTTCTGAGTCCAGTTGGGCCTATGGGCATTGGAGGTACCAGCCTCCTGGGATGTCAGCTCTATACTGCTGGTCTGGGCTTTCTGAGACATAGCGAAGCAGTTCATGGTCAACAGCACAAGTGTTTTGTGACAAAGCACTCAGTTAACAACAAAAAAGACCTGGTGATGGGTATTTTGACATGGCTGCTCAATGGCCTGGAATGTTGCAAAAATCAAAACCTACCTGCCTGTGTGTGCAAAATAATTACAGAAGCACAGCCTGTTTTCCCTAAAGTGGTAAATATTTTGTGTAGCCAGTGAGAAGACTAGGCAAAACATTTTTTGTTTGCAAGCTTGATTATGTCAGAATACCAGTGGCTGCACAGCTCAAGATGAAAGGATGAAAGGATGTGCAAAAGCCCCAATGCCCTGGGGTGCTGTGGTGAAGTGTTGAAAAAGCAGCTACAGCAAGCTCCAAACCAACCACACAGTCCCTGCCCCTGGCTTGGTGCAGACGGATGAGAAACTGCAGCTGATGGAGAGAGGTGAAATGGAGAAGTAGGATGAAATACGTGACATGGAGGACGTGGAGCAGGAGGAGGGCACAGAGGACATGGAGCAGAAGGAGGTGCCGTACTGCTTCTGCAAATGCTGTTTACCTGGAGATTAGTGCTGGAATACTTGAGAAGGACAGGAACTTTGCTACAGGGGCACATTATGCACCATCACCCACATGTGAATGAGCCACCCCCACACATGGGTGAGAAGGATAACTATTATAGCTCTAGATGGGTGGGGGGACCAAGCCAAACAGCAAGCCACATTTTGAAAAACATTCCAAAAACATGTATAAAATAATTCACAACACACTTCCAAAAGCCTTATGTGGCACTACACAAACAGATTGATGGTGTACCTGGGCTGGGAAGGTTCTAATGGGTGCCCCCATTCAAAACTGTATGAAGATTAATGAGCTCAGGAATAATGGGAATAATGTAATCCAAAAAGAAAACCAGGAAAAAAAAAGCCAGAAGAGCTCACTGCCTACCAGGAGGCAAAAAACACCCACCTGCCCACCCACTACTCTTATGATATAGTAGTTATCATAGCAGCTATAGTTAATGAAAGGGAAAAAAAACATAGGTGGGATTGGAAGGGAAAGGAATAGGAGGGGAGGATTAATGTGTCTTGTTTTTGGGATCGGGATGGGGTTTGGGATCACGTACTGATGAAGAGAGGCCACGCCAAGTGAGCATAGGTGGGTGTAAGTGACAAGGATTTGGGGTTGACCATGACCGTGCCCAGGGAAGACTCCCAGTGAGAGTCAGAACAACCCAATGAGAGTCTGGGAGTGGGGACTGGGGAGCCCGGGTAGTTTACATGTGCTTCCTTCTGTAATACGTTAGGAAAGACATTCTAGGGAGTAAATTGGTATTTGACTCCCCCTACTAAAACTGTGGGGAATGACACACGGGGGTTTAACTCACTCGAAAATGCTGTTCATGCAAACGTGAATGCTGTATCATGCAAACAAAATTGCACTTCACCAAAAAAAAAAGCTACATTAAAAAACTTTTGGGCAGTCTACATTAACACCCATGTCATCTACACATGCTCAAGGGCATCATCCTGGCCAGCCTCCTAAGTAAAATTGGCCAGCTTTTAAAACTAAAGCTCTAATCATGCTAAAGGGGGGTGGGGGGAGGAAGAGGGAGGGGAAGGGGAAAAAAGGCTTCTTTCAGTAAAATTTTTCACTGTCTCTGAGAAACAAGCTCTACGTTCTAGACCAAGTTCAACCAGACTACTCACTTAACTCCTATAGGTCTTTGTTCTTATAGTCCCTTTGGGACTCAGCAATTCAGTGCAGCTGAGCCCAGTTACCTTCCTTTTATTGCTGGTTCCCTCGCAATCCCTGCACTGTAGCAGCAGCTGTTAGTGTCTCTGTAGGAGAGAATGTTTAAACTTTCTACCACATACATACTAATAAGCTCATTGGGCCACACACCGTCCTCTTGCCTCTCAACACTCCCCTTTCCCTGCACAATGTTGGTGGGGCATTTCCAATATTACCTATATATCACCTGTGATGCTACATATCCTGGGGGGCGGGTCTGGCATGCAGCATCCACCTGCACTATTCCTCATGTTTCTAGAATGAACGGTAATGTCAATTTTAGAAAATATTGAAGTGTTAAGAAGAGGTGCCACTCTCCAAACACAAGTCCAAGTTGCAAACCTATTATGCTGCTGGCAGCAATGATGCTACTGTGCTTGTTGGCAGTTCAGAACACTGTGGTGAACACCATGGTGGATGCAGCAGGGAGGAGGAGGGATGACCAGGAACCAAAAAAAAGAAAAAAATAACAGGAGCAAATAAGAGTGGTACCTACTGGTCAAAGGCCTGAACGACAGTGTTGCTGGTAGGTGTTATAGGGCTTTGGTCCCTTTTTGGTTGGTGCCTTGCCACCCAGCGATGTCAGGGTGAGATCTGGATTCAGCACCACCTAGATAGCTCAGGTGCTGCTCCTACTCACCTGCCACATTTTGATGTTCATTGCTGTTCGCTTAGAAGGTAGTTCCCTGTAGATGACCCGAAAAGATCTTAACCCTGGGCTTTCTTCATGAGGCTCCAGCCTCCCCTTTACCCCACCCTTACCACATCCATGGCCAGGGATGGACTCTGCTCTCCACAGGTCTTGCACTGAGATGATCTCATCCACTCTACCCACCTCCAAGGGTCGGGTTTTCCTGGCCATCCCTTCTCCCAGGTTGTCCTTCACTTTCAGACTGAGGCCTGGGCAACTAAACACACCCCGGTCTGGGGTTAACTGCAATTTAGGACCAGAACTAAACTTAAGAAGTCAGCATCCACTGACAGGCTCCTGGGATCTTGTCTCCCTGGTGCCCACAGTCTTGCCGAGGACTCCACCATTGGTTCTGCCTAATGGACTTTTAGATGGATCAGCTGTCCAGTCCCACCCCCTGAGGGTCCGTGTCCCTTCCCCCTTTTGGCCCGTCCAACCTATGGCTGGGCTGTTGGGGTCCCACCAGCCAGTGTCGCTTGTCACTCCCATGTGGGGATCCATAGCTTCCCATGCCTCCCTCTTTAGCGTGCTGCCCAAGGGTGCTGGCAGTCCTTTGTAGCCACCCCCCACCACAGTACCTGTGCTCCTTGGTGTAGCTGCGGCTCCACTCCTGGGTGTCCCAGGACTGCTTCCCCCTGACAGACCTCCAGAGTCCCTCTGTTCCCAGGGCTTAGTCTCCTCATCCCATCTGCCGGTGTCCTCTGGCAAATGCGCAGCCTCTTTTCCCTGTATCTGAGGCTGATGCTCCTTGGCTCCATAGCCAGCATCTCCTGGCCAGTGTTCTGCTCTCCTCTCCCCAGTGCAACTTCAGCTGTATCCCCGGCTGCCTTTTGAGCAGCCTGTGCCCCTCCAGAGCCATGCCCCCAGTATTCACCAATTTGCAGGCTCAGGCATCTCTAGGACTGCTGAGCCTGCACCAGCTTTTCTCCCCAGCTGCTGCTCATCTTCGCTCCTGTGGTGAGTATCGGGGTGTGTCAGGCGGGGGTTTGTGATGCATTGAGAGGGCTTTTGCCTCCCCTCTCACATACAGAAATAGCAAATCTCCACCTGTTGGCAAAAGAAAATAATTGCAGGTCTTTGAGTCACTTAGTGTTTACATGCCACAGACCTATAGGTACATGGACATAATCAGCAGTAATGCAAACTAAAACTTGTCCGAGCAGTTTTATTTTAATGAACCGAAAAGACTTTTAAAGTGTCAGGAAATCCTGCTCATGCAAACACAAATACAGTTGTGGCGGCATAAACAGGAAATCTCATGGCATGTACACATGTCCTAAGAGTGCATTCATGGAGATATGTGATTACATGACTTGCTCTGTACAGAGAAAAAAGGGCCTTATGCAGCTTGTTTTTCTATAAGAGTCTAGTGATAAAAATGCTTGTTATGGATACAGGGGTTTGTTATGGCACATTCCACCAATATCTGAAGCAAATGGCTCTAGGTGCCAACAGGAAGAGAAAATCAATGATAAAGTGAAGACAAACCCAAATTGTTGATGAAAAACAGAAAATTGGCCTAATTCGTAACTATGTGACTAAAGAACTAAAATATTACCCCCTTTTTCCCTTCCTCTCTCTTTCTCCTTCCCTTTTTCCTTACTATCCCCTCCTCCTTTTCCCTTTTTCCCACCCCAACAATCACTGAGAACTGAAGATATCTGATCTCTCTTCAAGGAAACCTGCCCACTCTGGAAGCCTGGCCAGCTCCTGAGTCATGTATTATTAGGACGGGTAATATACAATTACTTGCTTGCTAAGATTATATCTTGCTAAGATTACTAAAACTTCTAAGATTATATCTATATGCATGCTTAGAGTTAATTCTTTATAATGCTCAATAACACTGATTTATTAAAGTGATACTGGGTTCTTGTTTGGATAAAATAACTGGGTTCTAATTTGGAGAAGATAAATAGATAACTGGGTTCTGTTTTGGAGAAGATAATTAGATTCTCATTTGGAGAGAACTGACATATATCTTAAGGCAATATTGTTCCACTATTTGCTTTCTTTCCATTTGGGAGGAGAACCAGATACCTCCTGCTTCTTAGAGTGACATAATGTCTGTCCCTAGCCCTAAAAGTAAGCACAGTCCAGTATTATCCTCTGGATCCTTATCTGATCCTTTCCAAATATTTTTTTTTGCAACTGCTACTTTTTGTAAATATTCTTAAGTGCCAAACCACTTTCTCTTTTTGTTATTTTACTCATTTAAAGGGAAATCCCCAACTATGTACCAAACCTAAGAAGATGAATCTGGTGTTGGAATGAATGTGGGTTGGATCCTAGAAGGATAAGGTCAGGTACAATTCTCCAGACTTCAAAGTTGTTCCATAACTTTTAATCCAGTCCCAGAACTGCATTGACCTTCTATCCGCCATGTTTTTAGCCTACTTCTTTTTTGGCCAATTATTTAGAAAATTAAAAATAGGCAAATCCTGTGTCAGTGTTCTGAAAGATGCAGCAAATCTTTTTTTCTCTGCAGAGGATATTGCAGCATTTTCAGATCTTGGCAACATAGCTGTGCAAATTAGAACAGCACTTAAATGTTTGCACTGATGAGCCACAAGCTTTCCCTCTGAAGGAAAACGAGAGTTCTTAATTGAAATCCCAGTTGTACAGACTTGACTAAAAGATACTGTTCAAAGCATGTTTTTCATTAACTTGCTCAAAATAACGCCCTATTATTTATAATTGCTATCCATTTTGATTCTGCGTATCACCCTTTTAGGTTATTAGTACTAATTGTCCTTTATTAAAGAATCTACTGATGAATTAACAGACTATAGATAATGTGCTTTGTATATTTGTCCAGTACAACAGTTTCACATGCTTAACCCCATGTGTACCTTGCCTAGGGCTATGCCTTTTGAGTCAGACCTCATTAAAATAAATAGACTAGTTTGGAAAGAAGACAGGTTTCATTTATTTTTCTGAAGTTTCGCTCTAAAATTGTGTGCATAGATTTGATACTAGATTAATAGAATTACAGGATTAATAGCATTGGTTTGAATGAGATACATAACGTTTTCCTATAAGCCAACTCATTAACAAGCCAACTCATTCTTGGCCTACAATAGCATGCCTAACTTTTTCTCCCGATGAGCCAGAGAAGCAGTGCAAGGTCTGTCTGCAGATCAGATCTCACCAGCAGGCCTGATTTGGTACATGGGACAGGTGTGGCAAGGGCCAAACAGGCCCTATGAGGTGCAGATGCAGTGAATCCTGATCTGACATCATGGCAGCAGTCCGGCTTAGGACTGATCCAGTTGCAGGGCTTGGAAATTTGGCATTGGGACATTGGTGGTGTTAATTGTCACCACTTCCTCACCACAAATTTTCTCAACCCATCAGGATCCCAACAGGCCATATGGCATAGTTTCTGTGGGCTTAGGGTTGAACAGCCCTGTTTACAATATAGAACCCCTATTCCAAATCCTTGTCTATTCTTTATAGAGTCATGGATGTATAGATTATAAAATTAGATGGACCATCTAGTCTGACTCCAATGTCATACAGGTAGAATTACACCACCTAGAGCATAACTAAGAAGTTTTTTGCCTTAAGAAGTTTGATGGAGGCCAAGCTGGCAGCAGTGGTAGCTTCCATTCTTGTCCCCCATCTAAGATGGTATTTAGGGCTGGTGGCCCACACATCCACTTCTAGTTATGCTAGTGACACCTCTGTTTATAAAATTCCACCAACCATTTTTAGATGAGATGCAGAACAGACTGGGTTAAGCTAATGACCAAATCTCCAGTGCTTGATACTTGGGAAGGCTTAAGTAAAGGCAAAGCTACTATAACATATGAGTATCCTTTTAAAGAAATGTCTTTTGGAGTGCATTTTCTTTTCATTTAATTTTGACAAGTGATTAGAGAGAATATAATTTCCCTAGCTTTCCTTTCACAACCTCTTTTCAGCATAGAAACCCCTTTATGACATTTTCCCTCCATTTTTTGGCTTTTAGGCTAGGGACAGACATTCAAAAAGCCAGAGCCTGAATTGATTCAATCTTTACAGGTTAGTTTAACCTGCCTAGACACAGACATTCAGGAAATGCAGGCAAATGCAACAGTAGCTCAGGCCAGAATCTGGGGGATGCTAGAGCATGCCCTCAGTTGCAGGGAAGCTGTGCTGGGGAAGCAGGGGGGAGGCGTGGCCAGTCCTGGAAGTAGACTCAAGTGAACTGGCCAGGTGGGGTTAATTCCCCGCTCTCTGTCCCACCGGTACAGACTCAGGCAGGGGTCTACCTGGTGCTCCCCACTCATGGCTGCAGCAGCAGGGTGGGGGCACACCCAGAGGCCAGTCAGCCTGGCCCCCTGAGGCAGAGTGGGCACAAA